GATTTCTTCTACAAGCCGCATCACGGCTCAGCATCCGTGGTGTATTGCGGTTGGCCTCGCTGCCTTTCCCTAATATCTCTCTCTCTCTCTATCTCTGACCTCCTCTTTTTTCTCATCTCTCTTTTTTTCTTCGTTTAGGTAACCTTCTGCGTTGCCGCACAACCCGTCGGCAGCGACGAGCGACGCAGTGGTCGGTTCGGGGATCGCCGGACATTCGCGGGGCTCAAATGAGATCAACCTGAACGCCTCCGCGTTTCTATGGGAACGAGAAGCTCAGTCGATACCTCGATTGCTGTATACCCTTTCTTTGATCCACCCCCTCTGCCCTCACTTTATTATTGTTATTTTTTAAAGCCATGCTAGGCTACCTTACAACACACGTTGGTTCCCCTTCCTGCCTGCGCCATTGGTATGGATGAAAGCCGCCGGCCACCGCTGCATATGCGAGAAGTTTATTAATTGAACGTGAGCTCCTCCCCGCTCCCTTCCCATGGCCCACTTTGTTCCGCCTTCCGTCCTTACCCGCTCACCCATCCTTTCGGGTGAGCTTCTCCTTACAAGGTCATTCATTCATTCCTCAGTGGCTCTCTCCCGTGGTGTTCTGGCTGATATAACGCCGCTTCCAGAGGGCCTCGATTCTCTCCTCGGTGACTGCTATGGCAATCCCCCCTATTTGCTGCCCGCGCGCGGATGACCACCCAATTTCGTCGCATCGGTAGTGGACTCTATATGGTGTGCACGTTGTCGATGCGCTTTGCTTTTTCAGCCACTACAACTGAGTACTTGCTGTAGGTTCTTCTCTTTTTTTTTTTACTTTTTGAGCCTGCGCTGTATGTTGGCGCGCAGCGAAGGCACCTTATTTGTTTCGATCACGACAATCTCCACGTCGAGATTTGCTTCGCTAAAGCCTCCCCGTCGCGTGGGAGGTGTTCGCGGAACGACAGCTTGCGACAGTTCGATTGAAGATTTTTCTCTGGCGTCGCTCTTATCGCCGCGTATCGTTCTTCGTCACTCGTCTTTATTTTGTCTTTTTTTCTCTTTCTCTCCTTTTAAGCTCCACACACAGGGAAGGAAGCGGATCATCGGCTCTATAGATTTGTGAGGGCTCGCGCGATGAAAGGCGTAAGCCGAAGGAGCGCTTGTAGCTGATGCAACTTGGAGCAGAAAAAAAAAAATGAATGGCAGATGGGGTGAAGTGGTTCTTTTTCTCACTGTACGATACTTTCCTTTCCTATCCTACTCCGTTTATAACTGGACGTACCGTTTATAACGTTGGCGAAAAGAAGCTTAGAAGGCAGCTTCTCGTATACGCTTGCGAAAAAGAGTAGGAGTATATCTATATCAATAGATTAACATCTCCAGAATATCCCAGTCATATATATATATATATATATATATATATATATATATATATATATATATATATATATATATATATATATATATATATATATATATACGAAACATGTCTTCTGACGTGCTTGTATGTCGGATTTGGTGGCTACTGGCATACGCGGAGAGAGAGAAACGAAGAGGGAATGCTGGGAGGTCGATCAATCATGCGTGCACTCGGTTGGCTGCCCTACTAGAGGAAGAGGTAGGGGCAACAGTGTGGATACGGCATTGCACTGCACTGCACTGCACGCGTTAAACTATATTGTTTTGTTGTTGTTGTTGACAGTGGTACGCATTGCGAATAAGAGATAGGCATTAGCAGTTAGTCTCCGCACACACAACACGTACGCGGGCTGGTATAGTTCGCCAACGTTCGTGCAGTCCGGTCGTCTTCAAGAAACACTGTAGGGCCTTCGCGGCCTATGTGAAACCCGGGGTCACTGGATCTTGTTTTGCGAAAGTGGTCTGACATCGAGGCGATGGAGTTTGGCTTCTTTATGACACGTCGTTGAGTTGGGCAGAATAAGCCGTGGCACAAAATGTTATCTCCTCATGGCCGTATACAGTAAATTGCAATCGGAATTGGGCGAAAGTTAGAACATAATGTGTATGTCGTAATTGGCCGATGTTGCGATTATATGCTTAGAAAACCTTGTCGATCGAGTTCGATGTAAATTGTTTGTGCGGCTACAACGTTATTGTGCTACAGGGCTGTCTCGTTCCGCCACTGATTCCACTCATGAAGTTGCGCCGAGCCGAATCACGCATTTTTTTGACGATCTGTATCGACCAGCCCGAAATGGTGACCCTGGTCCACTTGTAGTGCCTAAATTTACTATTTCCGTATATGCGGTAGCCACTAGGCAGCTTCTTTCCGTCCGTCCCGTTTCGCGTTTTCTTCGTATCGCCGACGGTGTGCTCGGTCCGCATAGTATAGTAGTGTACGCGTATGCGGCGCTCGCGCGCATACCTTTGGTGAGCGAGGTCGGCGCCTGACGTCAAGTTCCTGTCGCGGCTCTCTTGATGCGCGAGGAGGACGAAGACGCCGCGTTTGCATGGCCTGAATCCTGCGGGCGCTTCTGCCGCTTCTGCCGCTGTAGCTCGTGCCCTCCCCCACTTTCCCTCTCCGCTCGGGCGGCCGGCCGTCTTTCGACCGACGTTCCGCCCTCGTAGATGATGTATGCGCGCCTTTCTTTTCGCTTCGAGGTCCCTTTTGTCGATCGACTAGCGCGTCTGTTGCCGACCGAGTTCGCGTTAATCGTTGCCAAGTGCGCGCGCGCCGGGGCTGCTTGCCGAGCTGTGACGCTGTTTCTTGAGTCAGTGACTCTGTGCGCGTGCGCCGCATTTCGCATAACGGCGATTGGTGACTTCATCCGTACCGAGAGAAATATGTGTCAGTGAACGTGGCTGGTCAATGATACACTGCTCCTCAAGCCATGGCTTCCGAGATGGCGCGCCCGCCATTTCCGAGGCCATGCTTAAAGCTGGAACGAAACTGCGACGTGGGCTAGTTGGTTATTTCTCCTCTCAAGGTTGCTTCGCTTGTTGCATAGAGTTTCATACAATGATACCTAGAGGGGAATCTGGTGCCATTGTCTACCTGGGCTCCTTTATCGGTGCTTGTACCCCCATGGGAATTATGGGTAGTAGAGGCTTTGGTTGGATTACGTTCTCAAGATTCGCTACGCTTCTTTTCCGAGTGTAAAACAAAGTAATATGAACTTGTACTTAATTGAAACTTGCTTTATTTGTTTGTATGCAGACTTTATTGCAAAAAGTTTTCGTGACGAGGCGGCAAAAATGAAACCTGGGCAAATTTAATTATCAGGGTATGCATTGCTCTCTCATTGCGTTCCAGATTTCGCATAGATATTTAATGAAATAATTCTTACAACGCTTGAACAGAAACGTGCTTGTTTTTCTCTCGTAACTTCAAGTTATCTATTTATAGAAATAACAGTACTGTATTAAGTGACATACACATAAGGTTTCGTCTTCTGCGATGCAAAGTGCGTCTATCCAAGTTGTCTGCCCCCGATGCACCTCTGGTTCTCTGGTGAATTCGAGTCAGCGGAGCGTGATGGTGCGTCTACTTAGCTTCATCATAGCTTTGCAATTGATTTAAAACGAGTGTAGGCAAGGCACACTCGTGAAAAAAAAAACATGAACTATAGATGCAATATCCTGCACTGGCATGAGATGCTACATCTATGCACAGCGGTGAGTGGGCGACGCTTCGTTTAAACTGTCAAATACGTCTCGTAAAGCTCCAAGGTCGCTGCAAACTTCATACCTTCAGCCTCTTTGAACAACAAAGGCGCTGCCTCAGTGCTTTTTTACCGCACCCCACCACCCGAGCTGAGCAAAGAACGAAACTGAAACCGTAAAAAAAAAAAAAAAACAGAAACCTGTAGACAGTTTGCTAGCTAACCCTATCCAATCCGAAGCTTGTACTTCTGATAATTCCCATGGAGGTACACGATCGCAGCGCCAGATTCCTCTTCAGGTATTATTGTATGAAACTCTATGGCTTGTTGTATGTGTTTGATACTATTTCTTTAGTCCTAGTGTTCCGTGTGCCGTGTTCAAGATGTCTGTAAGCTCTGCCACCGTTAAAATGAGACCGAGTGGAGTTGCGCACCTAACGTGCTTTCGAAGCGTGTATATGACCAATAAACCGTTTCGTCAGTCGATGAAGAACGGCATAGTGTGGTGGAGAAAGAACGACGATGAAATACAACAACGAGCAAGCAAGCGAACAGGCCTCAGTGTCAACAGTGGCAGAGGACACGAGCTCGCGCGTGCCGGGATTCAGGCTGCTTGACGCCCTCCGCTCTTCGACGCTCTTCTGTTAGCGACGTCTCTCGACCTTCGCTGAAATCAACGCGTCGACATACCGCAACAATGACATTTTCATTACGATTAAAACACTATACGAGACCGCTAATAACTTCGTGAATGTGTCCCCCAGGTCGCGGGATCGAATCCCGGCTTCGGCGGCTGCATTTTCGATGGAGGCGGAAATGGTGTAGGCCCGTGTGCTCAGATTTGGGTGCACGTTAAAGAACACCAGGTGGTCGAAATTTCTGGAGGCCTCCACTATACGGCGTTCCTCATAATCATATGGTGGTTTTGGGAAATTAAACCCGACGTCTCAATCAATCAATCAATCAATCAACTCCGTGAATGTAGCTTTGCTGTCTGTCAGGCACCACCTTTCGAGCGCGTCAAGCTATTTTCGCGCATCTGTTTTTTGTGATAGTATTAGTGGATACAATTTTGAGTCGATCGTAGTGCAAAAAAAAAAAAGATACTATTAGCTAGAAAAAATACTATTAAGAATTACTGCCGGTCGGCGCTCGGTTAAGGGTATTTTGTGAATACCGGGCCCCTGCGGTCTTCAAGCTTACTCGTTATGCGGTCACCAAGTACCCAGACTCCGGAGTCTGCTTTGGCGTTGGTGGGACCTGGATGCGTTCCCCCGATCTAAAACCGCCTATTCGCTCTCGTTGTGCTCAGTATAGTACTCCTTGCAAGGCTGAATGAAGTCATTTGTTGCACCCCACGTTCGATCGTATACCTGACGTCTCTCGTCTCTTGCGCAGGCGCGGTGGTGAGCTGCGGCTGCTGCTCGCGGAACACGTGCCCACCTGCCCGTGGATGACTGCCCCAGCACGGCGCCCGCCTTCCTCGGGTGAGTCACAATGTACGCGTGTACTACATGTGTGAATGTGCACGACACAACCAAGCAAGGCCAACGTTCAATTGAACAAGGGAAAGCGGAGAGGGGGGGGGCAGTTGAGTTGAATAAACTTTATTTGCCCAATGGTTGTTGCTGTGCCTGGGGCTAGGCTGTCAGGGACACATCGTTCATTATTGTTTTAATGATACTGTAGTAATTGTGGCATAGACTGGAATCAAATCTAGTGTACGAAAGAGTATCGTTTCGAGTCGGTGGCATCCGAACCAATGCCTTCGGAATATGCGTCCGATGCTGTACGACAGGAGGCGCTGCTTCTTCCACGTTGGAACCAAGACATATCGGGTCATGACGGTAGTTATAGCGCGAGAACAAAACGACGACACAGAGACAAGAAGGACACGAAAGACACGAGTGTCCTTCTTGTCTCTGTGTCGTCGTTTTGTTCTCGCGCTATAACTATCGTCATGCCATACCAACTAGCCCAAGCTGCCACACATATCGGGTCAAATACAAAGGGGTAGACACGGTATGCAGTGCGTGCGGAGAGGAAGAAGAAACTGCCGAACACTTGATAATGTTCTGTAAAGGGCTTCACCCTATAGTTCAGGATGATGGCGCAGAGTTTTTAGAGCACTGGGGTTTAGGGACAGAGAGGGCAAAATAGACTTTAAGGGGGTAGAATGAACTAGAAGGAGGTTATCTGATTGGTGGCTAAAGTCAAGGCACGAGTGAAAATTAAACCCTTCACTGCAAAGTACGAATCCTCAACCTCATTATTTAAGGGAAAAAAAAATAAATCTAGTTTTTGGTTCATTAAGTATTACGGCTTTGTGGCGCTAGCCACCGCCCGATCTAAAGGGTACAGCCATATCCATCCATCCATCCATCCATGGTTGAGTATTTCTGTGCGCGTAATCTACGGGAGTAGTGTGCCTCGATGCGTGTGAGAAAGAAAAAAAGCGTGCATCAAGCCACCCTGGTTGGGAGCGTTAGCCAGTGCTACTGGTATAGCCGAGGCGGTGAGGGCCGGCCAGAGTGGTGTGGCACGAGCCCTTTTCGCGAAGTGGCCCTCGGCACGAAACAACGTGTCTCTTGTGTGCGAGCGCGCATGCGCCATTCTCGGCACTTGACTCGAAGGGCTTTATCGCCCTCTTCGCCCGTCGTAAGCTCTCACAAATAAATGCGCAAGAAGGAGGAGTTTTAACCCTCTCTCTTCGCTGCCATACAGTGGTCCTTCTCTCATATACAGTGCATGCCGGTGGCTCTTGTTCTGTTCTTGCGCTTCGCTCTTCTCTTCTTTCGTTTTGTTTCACGCGTGTTTATCGGCCGCCCCAAGTAGACTCTTGAGTAGGCGCGTACCGGCCCATCAGTTCCGAGAATGAAAGGAGGTGGGTTGTTTTTCTTCTATGGGAGCGCTGCTTGTCACGCCACTACTACAACCTTTGGAGAGAAACTGCTAAAAAGGTCACTGTGGCATTAGTGCAACGGCTCGCTAAGTCGAGGGAGGATGGAGGGGAGAAAAAAAACATAACGAAATCTCCTTACTCGCGTTGTTTGTGGCAGTTGGCGTGCTCGGACGCCGCTGTTCGTTGGTCTCTGTTCATCGCTGGAAGCGGAGGAAGCAGCAGCACAATGGCGGTCGGTGTTACTCTTGGCGGGTTTTCATTCGGTCTCATACCGTTCGCGCTGCAGCCTCTCGCGTCTTTTTTGTTTTTTTCTTTTGACGTTTCTCTCTCTCTCTCTCTTGCCTGGCCTCTCGGTGTTCTGAGGCTAGAAAATGCGTCGCTACAAATATACGTAAAATGCCTTCTTGGCACACGTTATGAAGTCTTTGCCCCAACGCACGGCGAACCTTCTTGGAACGGCCGCCGATATAGATTACGTGCTCCTTCACATGTGGCCTGTGTTCAGTAATTATTTTTCTTTCTCAGTTTTTGTGATAAGCCTGATAAAGAGCGTGTAATGTTAACGTGCTTGTCCAATTTATTTCTCGCATTAACCGCATTTTCCGTGTCTCGGTGGTGTGACGGCCGAGAAGCGTCGGCAACGGTCTTGCTTTCTTTTTTTTTTATTGCGCTTCCTTTTATTCATTTCTTGCCTTGTTCGCATTCTTTACTGTAATGTTCGATATTTCAATCTCAGGCATGTCAGTCAAAGTACAGTCGAACCCCTTTATAAAAGACACTGACGTATGAGACACCAGTGTACCTACAGTGAAATACAGGTTGATAAGGTTGTCCCAGTATTTAAAAGCGGCGTCAGAACAGATGCTTCAAATTATCGCCCGGTATTTTCTCACTCGTATCGCCTGCAAACTTTCCAAACAGATTATCTACTCTTTATAATGTTGCCTCTCATCTTGAAGCTAACTCCATTTTTTTGGGGGGTAATCAGCATGGTTTCCGCCCAGGACGCTCAAGTGCAACCCAACTATTCGAAATCACCAACGCCCCTCATTTAAACCTTGATTCTCCCCTCCAAACGGACGCCAGTTACCTAGATTTTTCGAAAGCCTTCGAACGCGTACCTCATTTACGACTAATGGTCGAAGTAGACAGCTTATGCATCCATCCATTAGTCACTTCACGGATCCGTTGTTTCCTAATTGGCAGATCGCAGTTTGCAGTGATCGGGCACCATCAATTTACAGTCACCGAAGTATTAGTACCGCAAGGTTCAGTCCTCGGACGTAACCCCTTTGTTTTTAATTTCCATTAATAACCTGCCCACTGGCATTACATCATCCATCGAGCTTTTCGCCGATGATTGCGTCGTGCATCGCCGCGTATAGCCTCACATAACGATGAGACGCTTTTACAACGTGACCTCACAACAATTGAAAAATTGTGCACTCAGTGGCTCATGCAACTAAATCTCGAAAAGATGTAAATCTGTGCACGTATCGCGGAAGTGCTCTCTCATATCTTACGCCTACTCTTCGCATTATCTTCCTATTGAGCTGGTTCAATCGTAGCTTGCATGGTCCCAACATATTCATAATCTGGTGGCCGCCACTAGCAAATCCCTGGGATTCACTAGAATGTCACTATCATCATCAGCACCTGTAATCTGCAAATTAGCATACGATACGTTTATGCGCACTAAACTGCATGGAATTCGCATCGGGAATATGGCGTCCACACCAAGCGTACCTTGTTGACCTACTTGAAGCTGTCCGAAACCGCGCAGCCCGGTTTATTACATCCCAGTACGACCGTCGGCTAAGTGTCACAAAATATCAAATCATCCTTGTGCATCAAATCATTAGCACCTCGCAGAAGAATATCTAGCTTGTGCCTCTTTCATAACCTTTATTGCAACTTTCCACGCTTACGTTTCTTTTTTCTTTTCCCGCCAAACCGCACTTCACGCCGCCTGTCAAACTTCCTCACTGTTCGAAGAATTCATGGCTCCGCCAATTCGTTCAACAACTCCTTGTTGCATGTCAGTAGCCATCGCGGAATGCAATAGTTTACCTGACCGTGATGTGATTAAACGTGCCCCCATCGAATTTCGAAATGCACTGATAAGCTTATTGAGTGCTGATGCGTAATGGGTTGAGATTTTTGTTTATTTGTGTTTTCTTCTTTTGAACGCATTATCCGCTGTACTTTGACTGTTTGGAAGTTTCACCTGTTTCTTTGTAAACTTTTTTTTTTTGCTTTATTAATGACTGTTGGAATGTTTCATTGCTCTTGTGTATGCTCCCCTCTTATGTAAAGCCCCAACAGGGGCCTTTAAGGGCTAATAAATGATGATGACGATGAAGAAAAAAGGTAACGAAATACTCGGTTTATAAGAGACATCTCGTATAAAATACAAGAATCGCTGCCCGGAGCATGCCTTTTATAAATGGGGTTAACTCTACTATATGCTTCCTGGGACTACCGCGTTTTCTTTTTCGAAGTGTATTGTACTCATCTTTGCCTCTTTTCTATCGTCGATCGCCGTTCTCCGTCTGTGAATAAGCGTTCAGGGCGGTGCCGCTAGGTAGTTGAACGGCAAACAGGGGTAGATGGGTGAAGGACTTAGAATCGAACACCTTTGTCAGAGACATGCACCGGAGAGCAATTCTAGTCTTTTATAGGAGCTGTGTCGTATAAGCAGGCCTCTATGTTTGCATTTTCTTATCAAGCCCTATTTCTGTGTAGACCCGCTGGTGTGTCTTATGCCCGTTCGTCTCTTTGACCTTTAGAGCACCGCCTCTTATGAAAGGTTTCAACTTTATAGCTTTTGATCTCGAAGAAGATCCCGGCTGCGGCGGCTGCATTTTTGATGAAGGCGAAAATTCTGGAAGCCCGTGTGCTCAGATTCGCGCGCACGTTAAAGAACCCCAAGTGGTCGAAATTTCCGGAGCCCTTCACTACGGCGTCTCTCATAATCATATGTTGGTTTCGGAACGTTGAAACCCCACATATCAATCAATCTCGAGGAAGGCGTTAACCAAGCAAACAAGGGACGTAGCTTATGATATATGGCGTGAGAGCGCGTTGCGTCGTAGCCGGCTTTCGAGAAGGAAACATATCATTATTGCAAACTAAATGAAGAGAGCACAAATAACGAGCAAGTTGTTGCTGCGTCACCGTACAATTTTTGAGCCCCATCAATATGCTGCTTATGGGTGTTATATTCCAAGAGCTTTCTTGCTGCCGACAGTGTCTACGTAGAACAGTGTCTTTGTAAAGCACCTAGCTGTTCGGAACTGTCCGCACCTAAAGTGGCGACTCGCTGTGAAGCTGTATGACATCTCTAACCCGATCGCTTCGTCATGGCGGAGGCGTAAGACACAAACAGTGCGGTGTTTTCAACAGTTGCGCCATATAAATACCTTCACGAGTTTCTTGCATATAGACCTTTTCACAGCAGGGAAACGATGACGCCATGCTGGCCAATGTGCGGGCGTACAAAGGCCGACGTCACAGCCTCGGCAGTGCATTTTTTTGGAGGATCGCGCTTATTTAGCCTATTTAGTTAATACTGTACGAGTCGAG